CAGGCGCCTTTTTATAAACCACTGTCCTGGGAGCTACCCCCAGCACTGAAACCTTCCACTTCCCTGCAATCTACTCTGTGATATTATCCAGATTGTCCACGTTTCCTAGAAAACCTAATGACAGTTTGGGGCCAGCTGGCTTTGTATGGGAACCACATTTAAACAAATAGCTCTTCAGATGATGTCATCTGACACGGCTTGGTAATGGGACAGGGTATTTGGAATTCCCAGCAAGGCTAAACCACTCCCTGATAAATCTTCTCCCATTATAGAGGTGAAGATTTTAGAGGAATGTCCCTCTGTCTTTCTATCCCAGTCCCCTCCAGGTAGCCTAATGTCCTCCTCCTTGTCACAAGTCACAGTCCTTTAAAAAAAATTCTTTATTTATTTGGCTCTGCACCAGGTCTTAACTGCAGCATTGGTGTTCAGTCACTCAGTCATGTCCTACTTGTTGCCACCTCATGGACTGCAGAAATCCAAGCTTCCCTGTCCTTCATTATCTCCTGGAGTTTGTTCAAACTCACATCTATTGAGTCAATGATGCCATCCAACCATTTCATCCTCTGTCACCCCCTTCTCCTCCTGCCCTCAATCTTGCAGAATCTTTAGCTGCGTCATGTGAACTTTTAGTTTTGGCATTTAGGACCTTAGTTTCCTGACCAGGGATCAAACCCGAGCCCCGTGCCTTAAAAGTGGGGGTGTTTTAGCCACTGGACCACCTGGGCTAAAGACCAGTATTCTGGTCTTCACTCTATCATCCTCCCTGAGTTCTTGCTTCCTAATACATAAACTGCCCGGCTCTATCTTCATCCTCACATCAATTTGCATCTGGGTCCCCCTTCTTCACACTCTCAGTTCCTTTTGTTCTCACCTTCCTATTCTTTCCTGGGCTCTGTTCTGGGAGAACCAGAGGAGAGATGAGCATGGGACCAGGATGAGGCCATCAGGGCACAAGTCCGCAAGTCAGGAGGTGAAGTCCAGGATTCATTTTCCTGTTGCATCTGTACAGGTGTGCAGTGACCTGCCGTTACATTTTCTGGCTTTGTTTATACGTTGAACTTGTTGAACTGGTTTTCCTTTGCCTGTCTTTCCCTCCTTTGCCCCCATACCGTTCCATAAGCAGAGGATAACACTGAACCTTTGATAACAAGGCTCCTCTGTGGAGGGTTAGGAGTGAGGAGAGCATGACAGTGAGGCCACGGAGGCACCGTCAGCACAAGCAGGAAAAGCCACGCTCTCTGAAGTCCAAAGGACTAGAATTAAGTTAATTCTGTAACATGACAGGCAAGTAGCCTTTGGCATTCGAGAAGGCAGTCACTATGTAAATGCCAATTGTCGTTGATCCGCTTTCTTCTGTCCTCCTCACATAACACTGTCTACAGAATTAGATGCTATGCTGCCGTTGGCTAGTGGCAGTTCCCTGCTTAGCTGGTTACAGTCTCTGTGATGATGTGTGATGATGATGTGCTCTCCCTTCTCAGGGATGCTTCTTTGGACTCTGGGCTTTTCTGACAGTGAGGTGTGCCATGGGACCCTAGGGGCTGCCACTGACTTGAAGCAGGCAGGCCCTTGACTCAGCGGTAGCCCATCACCGGCTGGCCAGCGAGCACTTATATTCTCGCTCTTTAAATTCTAAGCTGCAATAGGATGAGGCTGGTCGGATAGAGATGGGCAATAAAGCTGAGAGATTACGTGGGTTTGGGAAACACTTATTGTTGGTGATGTGCTTTTGGATAATTAAGCACAGAAAACCACTCTGCAGAAAGAAGTATGAAGTAGAAATGAGAAACCATGTGGCCCCAGAGAAAGGAGAGGTGGAGAGGATAACCTCCATCCCTGAAACCTGGCTCCACCACCCTGCTGTGGCGCCACAAAGATCCCCTGCACACGAGTCACCCCGTCACTGCACCGAAATCCCAAGGCAGCTTGGATGCAGCAAAAAAGGAAGCTGAGTTCTAACCCTGCCTCTGTCTGTGACCTCAGGACAGCCACTCCTGAACCTCTATTACTCCCATTTGTAAAACACAGGAGGATGAGATGAGGTCAGTGTCTCCCAAAGCAGAACCTTGAACACTTGTGGGGCATGCAGTGATTTTAGTGCAAGGAAACAGCCTTAAATAGCACCGAACCACAGCATAAAAATGGTATTTTCATATCATTTAAGAGTTAAGAGTATCAGTTAAGAGTTCTCCCTCAACTCTCCTAAGTAAGGTAAAGAGAAACTCAGATGGGTTTTTGGCATGTTTTAAATTACTTCAGTCACTTGTTAGGTTTCCTTTAAAAAATTTTTTTTAATGTAAGATATCACACTAGTAATTTCTTATATTGGATACATGTTGAAATGACAATAGTTTGGACATAGGGTATTAAATAAAATATTGTTAAAATTGAACAGAAAATTTGGCTGCCCTGGATGGCCTGTGGGATCTCAGTTCCCTCAGCAGGGATCGAATTCGCATCCCCTGCAGTGGACGCGTGGAGTCTTAACGACTGGACTGCCAGAGAATCCCCCCATTACAATTTTTTGAAAGTTGTTAAGAGAATAGATTTTAAAAGTTCTCACTATACACACACACATAATTGTAAGTACATGAGGGGGTGAATGTGTTAAATAACCTTATCCAGGTAATCAGTTTGCAGGATATACATATATAAAATCAGAACGTTGTACTCTTAAACAATGTTGTACATCAATTACATCTCAATAAAGCTGGAAAAATAAATACAACTTTGAAATTTGTTTGCCTTGTATTACTTTTACCACTATCTTCTATTCATAGGTTTTCAAGACATTAATATCAAATTTCCATCTGAAATAAGTTTAAGTAAAAAATAGACGTGCACAGTGATAGCTACCATTTATTGAGTGGCTACTATGTTCCATGTAGTTTATGTTATTCACAATTTTCCTAACAATTCTAAGTATCATTATCTCTGTTTTACAGCTAAGGCAACTGAGGACAAAAAGAATGAGTATAATATGCACAAAGTCAGATACCCAGCAAGTGAATGAACAAGGATTTGAAGCCCATGCTCTGAAGCCCATGTTTTCAGATTTGTCTGTTTCTGAAGCCCACATTCTTTCCACTCTCTCTTGATTCCTCTCCACTAGAATCGAGTATCTGAACCCACATTCAGGAAAGAGTTCCAAGTTGGCCACATCCAGTAGGCTTTGCTCGGACATCAGCCCCTGCGTCCTGTCTGCCACCCTGGGTACTCTCTCCTTTCTGAACTCCTCTCCTGGTTTGCCTTTATCCAATTTCTTGTCTTCCCTTCCTGATCAAGTCTTCCAACTGCTGTCTCAATCTCCAGCCCCTCATCTCTCCCTATGTGTTTTATCTTTTGCCCCTCACTCTTGCTCTAGACCATTGAAGAATTCTTTTGCCCTTCACTCTTCCTCTAGACCATTGAAAAGCAACATCTATCCTAATTTAGATTTAAATCCTATAGGTTTCCCTGGTGGTTCAGATGGTAAAGAATCTGCCTGAATGTGGAAGACCCGAGTTTGATCCCTGGGTCGGGAAGATCAGATGCCCTGGAGAAGGAAATGGCAACCCACCCCCAGTATTCTTGCCTGGAGAATTCCATGGACAGAGGAGCCTGGACAGTTACAGTCCATGGGGTTGCAAAGAGTCAGGCATGACTGAGCAACTAACACACACACACACACACAAGATCTGGAGAATTCCATGGAGAGAGGAGTCTGGACAGCTACAGTCCATGGGGTTGCAAAGAGTCAGACATGACTGAGCAACTAACACACACACATACATACACACACATGCACGTGCGTGCGATTTACTTTTATGTAATCAGTGCTCCTGGCTGCATTCTGTCAGTGAGGAACCCAAGCAATGCTGTCATGCACCCAGGTAGGTAAGATAAGTAGCCGAGATGTGAAGGCGTGAACTCAGACACTCAGGCTCAGAGCAAGACAGAAGGGGACCTAAAGCTGCAGTGACTTGGGTGTGTGTGTGGGCGCGGGATTGTGGGGGAAAGGGGGTGTATGGTGCTTTCTCTATAGGGATCCAACAGGGATGAGAGTGGAATGGGATTGGAGGTTAGAGAAGAAGAGACAAGAAAATTCTAAAATAAGAAAGAACACCCTTGAAGACGTGGTGGCAGCCTGGGTCCAAGGAGAATAAATGTCAGTATGGGACTTGCAGGGAGACAGCAGAGCCCGTGGGCTTTAGAAAGTCCACAGATGATACTGAATTGCAGGTGTTCTTTTTCTGCCTTGTAACTCCATTATGCCGATCTCCAAGCTTAGCTAAGTTCCAGGTAACTTGGAGAAGTGCCCACGTGGGTTCTCCTCACAGCTCCTGAGGCCAGCGCAGTGGGCACTTCTGGTCTAGAGCCCAGAGGGGCCAGCAGTCAAACAAGCACGGGTCTGTGGTAGAAAGCAAGGCGCTAACAACAGTGAGAACTGGTGCAGGGCAGACAAAGCAGAGAAGATCCTGAGATCAAGTGCCTTTTCCCCAAACCTCACAGAAGCTGCAGCCTCAGGTAAGGAGGAGAGGCTAGACCCCGTTACCCACTGACCATCTGGGAGGGTCCCTGTGCCATTGGTACTGACACACAGACACAGACAAACGTTGCAAATAAGGACTTGGAGCCTGAGTGGCCTTGGAACCAAGCCACACTGCACTCGGCTTCTCCAAGGCAGAACTGGGGAGAACACCCTCAGTGTTTGAGTTCACCTGCCCGGTATGGCAGAAGAGTTTTTGGAGTCAAAATCATCTAAGATGAAACTGCTAAAGTCACACTGGACTTCTTCAGATCTTAGTTTCCTTATATATAAAGTGAAAATAAAAACACTGAGCTCATACCATCACTGTGAAAATGAACTGCGATAACGACGGACAGCAGCTGCCCTAATGCTTGCCCTTAGCAGGGACTCAGTGATGCTGCTCACCGGCTTCCCTGGCCCCAGACTCCTAACCCGCCCCCCAAACCAGGTCCCCACACCCTAGACATCATCCACAGAGGTCAGTTCCTACCTTTGGTTAGGGAGTGAATCCCCAGCTTGACTTGGGAGAAGTTCCCACTTCCGATCTCCCCTCGGATGCGATAGAAGCCGATCCGCTTGCCCAGAGTGATCTCCCTCACCACCTTCTCATCCTGGGACATGTCCTGGGTCAGCTTCTCAAAGGGCGTCAGCTGGTGAGGCTCTCCCTCTTCATCCTCCTTGGCCAACTCCGTCTGACAGCCACTCTCCTCGCTCTCCCGCCGACCCCATCTGGCACAGTGGGGATTCACCAGGCCGCCTCCATTCACAAACACAGCAGTCATCGTCCACGCCAGGCTCACCGCTCCATCTCAGCAGAGGCACCGAGCAGGGGCAGGATGGGGAGGAGCAGAAGGGCCCAAGGGGGACGGGAGATGGGACTTAAAAGGCTGTAAGGGCCCTGTGTCCTTGAGAGCTGGGCAAAGACTCCTGGATGAGCAAACCCCCTTCTGGGCTTCAGTCAGCTGAAGGCAGAGACCAACCCCAGCACTGCCTACCCAGCCAAGCCCAAAGCCACCCACCTCACTTGAGACATTTCACACCTTCCTTCACAGTGAACTTCCCTGCTCTAACTGGACCATCAGGCACACATCCAGGTACCCTAGCCTTGCTCAGGCTCCAAGAACTTTCTGGCGGGCCGTGCCGATGCTCTGTGGTAGGTGGCTCTGTCCCAAAACAAAGGCTCCAGTTTGCTATTTCCTTTGATGGTCAGAGAATCTTCTGCCCCGGTGTGTAAAAGCCCCCAGGGGGCCCCCAGGTCCCCACTGCTGGTGCTTATCTCTGATCTTCTTCATTTTGCACTTTTGCTGTCAAGTCGTGGGTCCCGGGAGACCTGACAATCCAGACTCCAGGAAAGAAGAAACTTGCAAATCAGCCTTCCGGTCACACGGGCAGCTAGAGGATTAAATCCCTGCAATGCCACCTTAGCCGGCCTTAATTTAGACGAGCTTGCCTCTAAGCCGCGAGCGGTCTCAAAAATTTGGTGGGTGCTGATTCATCCTAAGAATAGAGAATAAGAAAATACATTGGCCCGTGTTAACACATTGGACATCATTGATAATGAATGCAGAACTGCTGGGGAAGCAACAGTCGAAAAGCATCTAGACATTTCAGTTCTGACTCAATCATAGTAAATGCTTGATCACATGTGATTCAGTCAGAAGAAAATGTACATGCACACAAACACACCTGTCAACATTTCAGAAAATCCCTCACAGGCTGTAGTAGTTCTAGCAAAATGACATCTTTATTTTTGTTTCTAATAAAACAATTTTTCTTTTTCTTGATGTTTAGGGAAATATTCAGGTTGCCTTGGCTTGCTTTAAAGCGAGACTTTTAAAATTATATAATAGTCATGATGATAAAGATTTCCTATTAATATTCATCTTCAAAAGTTCTTACATTGACTCAAATAACAATGTATTTCCTGATGCAAAGAGCCAACTCATTGGAAAAGACCCTGATGCTGGGAAAGTTTGAGGGCAGGAGGAGAAGCAGGCAACAGAGGATGCGATGGTTGGATGGCATCACCAACTCAATGGACATGAGTTTGAGGAAACTCCAGGAGACAGTGCAGGACAGGGAAGCCTGGCACGCTGCAGTCCACGGGGTCGCAAAGAGTCGGACATGACTTAGTGACTGAACAACAACAACAAATATTTCCTTAACCCTGTATGTTCTTGTAGGACTTTTCCTATAGGGGCTGCTCCTGCTCTTTCTGTAGTATTCTTTGTGCATGCATGTGCATACTCAGTCACTCAGTTGTGCCTGACTCTTTGCAATCCCACGGACTGTGGCCCACCAGGCTCCTCTGCCCACGGGATTCTCCAGGCAAGAATCTGGAGTAGGTTGCCATTTCCTGCTCCAGGGGATCTTCCTGGCCCAGGGATGGGGCCTGAGTCTCTTGTGCCTCCTGCATTGGCAGGCAGGTTCTTTACCACTGGACCATCCTGGAAGACAGGTATTCTACAACACAGGCCAATTTTTCTCCGAGGCTTATTTTCTAGGATTTCTATCAGCAGTGAGTCTACAGGCCCAGCAGCTTATTTTAAAGGTTCAGAAACAGGGTAATGTCACTGGAGGACAATTGTCTATGGCATCCTCTGTGATGAGCAATATTGCCCAGCTGGGGTATCTTCATGCTTTCTTCTATGTAGCCTCCAGCAAGAAATAATCACTTCCTCTCTGGATCCCCACAGCACTTTGTACAGTTTCCAATGGGTCTCCTTTCCCTGAAGGTGGGAATGGGGTTTAATTCCCCTGTGTATCCTGCTCCTCTCCTGTCTTTCTCAGCATGGAGCATGATGTCCTGTATAAAGAAAGTGTTCATTAAATGTGTGTTGAACTTGATTTTTGGACTTAAGCATTCTGAAACAAAACCTGAGCAAAAACATGAGAAACTGCCTTGGAGATGGGAATTCCCAATTTTGTTTGATGATATCGAATTATTACAATTAGGTACAGCATGGTTTACATTGCTATTGTGTGTAAGTATGGGGTTGCTGAATAAAGAGAAATAAGGACAGCAAAGAGGAGGTTGCTGCCAGCACTGTGCCTTTTCCTACATGGGGGAGGAGAAGCTGGACGAAGGATAAAGGGGCCAGGTAGCAATAACTACACACATCTCCAGGCTAGAGTCTGGTTGCATGCATGCTAAGTCACTTCAGTCGTGTCTGACTCTTTGTGACCCCGTGGACTGACCCCAGCTCATCTGTCCGTGGGACTCTCCAGGCAAGAATACTGGAGTGGGTGCCATGCCCTCCTCCAGGGGATCTTTCCACTCAGGGATCGAACCCGAATCTCTTATGTGTTCTGCATTGGCAGCAGGGTTCCTTACCACTGTCGCCACCTGGAAAGGCCCAAGAGTGATTAGGGTTTTTTAAAAGATATTTTTTAAGATAAAAAGAGCCTTGATCCGCTTGAGGAAAATCTAAGTCACTTGTTCTTAAGCCTTCTAAAGTTGCACACTCCTTGGAGATTCTAACGAAGTTTGTGACCCTACCTCCAGGAAGAAGCACCCACACAAAGTCTGCATCCAGCTTTACGGGTTCACAGACCCTCTGAGAACACCCCTGTACTTCAGATGAAGAAGCGCTATGAAGATCTCAGATTCCTGACAGAGCGAGACCACCCCGACAGGAAGTGGGGTAACAATTGTATTGGGTTGGCCAAAAGGTTTACTTTGGCTTTTCCATAGGATGTTATGGAATGAACATTTGGTCAAACCCAAATGAACTTTTTGGCCAACCCAAATGAACTTTTTGGTCAACCCAATAATTCTGTAAGAAACTTTAGTTTCGCCTTCACAAAGAGAGTACAGCCTTCCGACAAGATGCAGTGCTTGATCACCTGGTGTTCCTGCAGATTGGCTCTATGCCCTTCCTGGGCCTTCTGCAGGACTCCAGGCCTGCATCCCTCCGAGCACTTCACCACGGTGCTGTCACCGTTGCCGACCTACTTGTACCCCAACTGGATAAGCACCTGGAGGCAGGAACCTGCACCTTATTCTTCCAGCTTCCAGGGCTCAGTCCAGTCCTTGGCATTTGTTTGATACACATTTGGTGAAGAAGGAATGAATTAACTTACCCAGTCATCGATCATTATATTCAGGTATGATCTATCTAGTACAGGTAAATATTTTTATTTATAGACAGATAATGGGGCTGCCTAGGTGGTACTAGTGGTAAATAACCCACCTGCCAGTGTAGGAGATGCAAGAGACACAGGTTCGATTCCTACATCGGGAAGGAGAGCATGGCAACCCACTCCAGTATTTTTGCCTGGAGAATCCCATGGACAGAGGAGCCTGGCCGGTTATAGACCAGAGGTTTGCAAAGAGTCGGACACAAGTGAAGTGACTTAGTACAAACACAACACTATTGCAACATTTACTTGAGTTATTCCGACAGCATATTTCACTCCACATTTTCAAGACCCAAGCTACCTTCTAGTGGGCAATAGGATTCCTGGTCCTGCCTTCTTTTGTAGGGAAAAGCTTAGCTTGAATTCCCGCATATGACTGAGAATTGCTACAGGACTGCTTAGAAATTAAAAATCTTTGGTCAACCATTTGTAAAAGAATGAAACTAGAACATTTTCTAACACCATACACAAAAAAAACCCCTCAAAATGGATTAAAGATCTAAATGTAAGACCAGAAACTATAAAACTCCTAGAGGAAAACATAGGCAAAACACTCTCTGACGTACATCAGAGCAGGATCCTCTATGACCCACCTCCCAGAGTAATGGAAATAAAAGCAAAAATAAACAAATGGGACCTAATTAAACTTAAAAGTTTTTGCACAATAAAGGAAACTATAAGCAAGGTGAAAAGACAGCCTTCAGAATGGGAGAAAATAATAGCAAATGAAGCAACTGACAAAGAACTAATCTCAAAAATATACAAGCAACTCCTGCAGCTCAATTCCAGAAAAATAAGCGACCCAATCAAAAAATGGGCCAAAGAACTAAACAGACATTTCTCCAAAGAAAACATACAGATGGCTAACAAACACATGAAAAGATGCTCAACATCACTCATTATCAGAGAAATGCAAGTCAAAATCACAATGAGTACCATCTCACGCCGGTCAGAATGGCTGCTATCAAAAAGTCTACAAGCAATAAATGCTGGAGAGGGTGTGGAGAAAAGGGAACCCTCTTACACTGTTGGTGGGAATGCAAACTAGTACAGCCACTATGGAGAACAGTGTGGAGATTCCTTAAAAAACTGGAAATAGAATTGCCATATGACCCAGCAATCCCACTGCTGGGCATACACACCAAGAAAACCAGAATTGAAAGAGACATGTGTATCCCCATGTTCATCGCAGCATTGTTTACAATAGCCAGGACATGGAAGCAACCTAGATGTCCATCAGCAGATGAATGGATAAGAAAGCTGTGGTACATATATACAATGGAATATTACTTAGTCATTAAAAAGAATGCATTTGAATCAGTTCTAATGAGGTGGATGAAAGTGGAGCCTATTATACAGAGCAAAGTAAGTCAGAAAGAAAACCACCAATACAGTATATTAATGCATATATATGAAATTTAGAAAGATGGTAACAATGACCCTATATGCGAGACAGCAAAAGAGACACAGATGTAAAGAACAGACTTTTGGACTCTGTGGGAGAAGGTGAGGGGGGGATGATTTGCGAGAATAGCACTGAAACATGTATATTATCATATGTGAAATAGATCGCCAGTGCAGGTTCGATGCATGAGACAGGGTGCTCAGGGCTGGTGCACTGGGATGACCCAGAGGGATGGGA